TTTATATATTTTTCTGGCACTGATCCTAACCAGTTTTTCATCAGATTCTTCAGTTTTCCCCCATCAGTGTTATTGGATGAGTCTTTTTTTTTAGTAGTCTGTTATTAGGTTTATACTGGACAGTTGTGTTCTGTTGCTTCTGTGTCTTGCTGATCTTATATGTATTTATGATCATCTTATGATACTGCTATTTTATCTTCAGATTTTTTTAATCATTGCCAAATAGTTTAGCTAATGACTGCTTTATAATATATTGTGCACCCTCCCATCAAAGATAATGTTTTTCCTTTGAGATTCTAGGACTTAAAGATACATTTAGTTGTTGTCTAGTTCTGTAAGTATTCTCTTATCATATGGCATATTGTTTTGCAAACTTAAAATGTAATTTGTTAGAAGTTAATTCTATTGAGTAAATAATATTTAGTCAAAGTCTTCTTAAAATTATAATTTATAATTTTTGCTGTATTCACAAAATAACACCATGAAATGAAGAAATGAAGCCTTCTGCAAACTAACCCTTGAACAGTTTTCTGTTGACATTTTGGTGATATTTTTGTCATCTATAGACTGTTTTATGAAATAAAAACATGAAATGTTGCCCACATAGATAAAATAAAAATAACTCAGAGCTGTTAAGCTTAAAAATGACACCAAGATTTTTGGGATGTCCTTGTGCTTAATGGCAATGTTAGGAAGCTATTTTTGTCCAATATGCATTTTTAAAGTTATAATTACACTGAGGGAAGAGTGATTATTATTTTTGTCACTCAGTAAAACTAATCATTGGACAAGATATCATAAGGGTTATTAAAAGCATGCTATATAGTTATTGAAAAACTAGCTCGTTGGCAAATGTTGACATGAGAGTTTTTACTATTTTCCTGGTAATTTAAATAATTTATTAATGCTTTTTTTAAAAAATTCATTAAATTCATATTGATCCTCACTACATGAGAATTAACCCCTGTACCATTTTTCAGTCTTCATTAAGAATAAGTTCCAAATGTTTATTCAATTGAATTATTGAAAGAAGACCATTTATTCCAAATAGCAAAACATCAAAGAATATTAACACTCCCTTCATAGAGCTGCAGGCCATAAGGATCAGTTAAAGCAGGAGTTCTTAACTTTTTTGTGTCATGGACTGCTTTTACAGTCTGGTGAAGCCTTTGGACCCTGTCTCAGAATAAAATTTATTTGAATTTAAAACTTGATGATTTTTAAGTGTATAAAATAACAGGATTAAGGTTAACCGTAATATTGAAGTTAAATTATCAAAATACTTTCTAAAAATTTTTCATTTGAACCCAGGTTATGAAGCTCTTAATTAAAGGAACTGGGATGTTTTGACTGGAGAAGACTTAGGTAGGGGGTGTGGAGAGACTTAATTTCAAGTTAAAGGACTCTTACCTGGAAGAGGATTTAGATTTGTCCTGCTTAAACAAATAAGTAGTACAAAGAAGTTGCAAAGGCAAATAAATACAGTTTTGATTTAAGGAAAATCTTCCAGACCACTATACTGCCCAAAAGTGGAATGGACTTCCTAAGAGAAAATGGTTTCCTTTTATTAAAGGACTTAAAACAGAAGATTATTTATCCATTTACTGGAAGCGTTGAGTTCTTGTTCAGTTATGAATTATGTTACATAGTCACTAATGTCCCCTTCCATCTGTAACACTTTATGATTCTGTGATCTCTCATATCTATATCTATAGATCTCAGAATAATTTCAACACTTGCATAGAGTTTCAAGCAAAAATATGAGAAAATGTAAAACATTTTGCCAGATATTCTTTGGTGTACCAATAATTGAATTTTCACTCATTTTAGGTTTTGGGGAAAGGGAGGGAGAGAAAGAAAATGGGCTCAAAATTGAAAATGGGAGAAATCTGATATGTAACTCCAGGAGAACTCATAATTCCATTGGTATAGTTTCTATAGAAGTCTTTCAAAAATGTTTCTTTTCAGAATAGTCACTATTGTCAACAAGTGTATGCTATTTTATCAGCTGCAACTTGGATATATTGTGCCATCTCTCCTTATGTTGAAAAGATACTTGAAATGTGACTTGAAAAAGGACAATGACAAAGTCCAGAGAAAAAGGATTATTAATGTTTTATTGTTTGGTATTAAAGCATATAGTACTTGCTCAAATGAGCCATTTGGCAGCCAAAGAAATACAAAGTATTATTGCTATCCTGTGCCTACCAAATAGAAAGTATTTGGAAATATATACTTGTAGGGATCAGTTGTCACTATTCAATTAAGTCTCCCTAGTTTTTTCTTTCTATTTTTAAATTACAATTTCCTAAATTGTCATCCCTTTGGGTTTTTCTGTCAGTATAATTTTCACATAAAGTACCTGGTTTCGAATCTTTTTTCCTTTACCTGCGTGACCTTGGGCAAGTTAGTTAACTTCTCTGGGCCTCATTTTCCTCATTTACAAATTGAAAAGTTTGGACAGAGCATGTCTAAATCTATGATCCTGTAATTTTTAATCCATGAAAGGTAAAAGAAGTTAAATATATATTTTTCAGCAAAAGTGTTAAATCGGTATCACAGGTGGGAGTAGTAGCTGATATAGAGGTGATAATAGATTGTAAAAATAACCTCAGAAAACAGTGTGATAAATGCAGTTTTTGGTCTATCAGTACATTTTGATATGCTGCTTTTAATATTTGTGATAATTCATTAGTTTCATTTCAAAACAATCCATTGGATGTTTTATGGAATGTCAACATAATTTCGATGAGATATAGTCTAAGAGTTATATGTAATTCACATACATTGTTGGGTGTTTAGAAGTGAGGGGAAAATCTAGTTTTTAGGCTTCTTGGGTAATTTTAGTTAATAATTGGTTATTCTAAAAATGCTTTATTTGAAGAAAGTTTTCTTTGCTGTATTTTTTATTTTCCCTCCTTTCCTGGAGTATCTCATCTTACTCTGTCTGGCATTTAAATGTAAATTATATATATAACAGTTTTGAATAACTTAATCAAAAGTGTTAGTCATTGTTAAGAAGCTTAGACTTTTTCATCTAGTCAATAAATTATTTATAATTTATTTTTACTTTCCAGATGATCTTTTAAAAATATTTTCATGGTGAAAAGGGATTTAAGATTCCTTTCATAGCTGTCTTAGTGCCTTTCAATGAAGTGAGACACTGCTTCTGATTTTATTTTGTCATTTTTTTCATCAAAGCTTTTTTTAATGACATGCTGTTTAGTAGTATTTAGGAAATAGGTAGAAAGTAAATTCCTAATGTTTCTTAGGAATAATGGCCCAGAACTTAAGATAGACTAGACTATTCTAATAGTTTGAGTTCTTTCTGTAAACCCAGTCTCCCTCATCATTTAATTTTTAAGTGTAATTTCGTTTTCTTGTGAGAAAATTCCTGATGCTGGGGAAAGTCTTGAAAACACTGACAAATTGTTATGAGAACCAGAAAAAAATAATAGACCATACTAATACCCGGCAAAGGCAAACAAGATCTGTAACTATGATCCATCTGTTAACTTTAGCATCTATATGTGAGTGATCTACATGTATATCAAGAATATCCTTGATGGGGGGCAGCTAGGTGGCACAGTGGATAGAACACCGGCCCTGAGGTCAGGAGGACCTGAGTTCAAATGCAGCCTCAGACCAAACATTTGACACTTACTAGCTGTGTGACCCTGGGCAAGTCACTTAACCCCAATTGCCTAAAAAACAAACAACAAAAAAAGGAATATCCTTGATGAAAACGATGAGAAGGGAGTTTCCAGCCTTTTTCAAAACAGTTGTCACAACATATCTCTTTGTTTCAAACAGACATTTACCTGAAAGATGCCATATTCCATTTCACCTACATCTTAATTCAAGACATAATCAAGAATATGATAATTCCAAATTTAATTTACCTGTCTAATTCAATATCAATCAAGTAACCAAAGACTTCACAAAATTTTATTTAAAATCGTAATGATACATGTCAAATTAAAAGGCCAAAAAGATGAATCAGAATGAGAAATCTGCTGAGGAAAATAATTTGTACTTTTATAAATACTTTTACAAATTTCATAAATTACTTTAATAAGCATTGGTTATCTTCCAGACTATCTGAAACTTGTCAAAAACCAGAGAAACAGGTTAAATGGAGTGAAGGAATGTAATAGCATTTTCTTACATTCTGCCAAATATGTATAAAGATTAGTGTTTGATAAATTGTTAAATAAAGATTAAGGAAAAGATATGCGTGATCAGCAAGTGGATATGAACAGTTTTCAAGAGTAGCAAATTATTAATAATACTTTTAAGATGCTCAGTCTCAACATTAATCAAAGGAATTGATTAAAGTTGCAGATTAAAGCAACGCTGAGTGCTAGTTGCTAGCCCTCAAATTGAGGGAAATAATTATAAGCAGTTGAAATTAGCAAATTAGTATAGAAATAGATTTAGTCATTCATTGATGGTGGAATTAAGAACTGGTAGGATAAGCCCTTCTTTTTGGAAAGCAGTCTTGTACTATAATTCCATTGTTGGGAAAATACCTAGAGAGTACTACCAAAAAAAGAAAAGAAAACTACCCATTCACAGATTTTACACCAGCTTGCTTTTCTTTTCTTTCTTTTTAAGGAAAAAAACTAGGAAAAAAGAAACCTAAATGCTCACGTATAAATGATTGATTAATTAAGTTATAGTACATTAATGGAATAAAATTTACTTCAGCAAAGACTGAATATGAAGAAAATAGATAGTTATGTAATGATACAAAGTGGAAAAGGCTGAGCTAGAACAGAGTATATATTACTGCATTCCGTGTACAAGATAAGCTGAATAAGAATGAATGGACTGAGAATGGTGATGGGAATTTGGAAGAAGTGACTAGCGTTATGGCATTTCATATATCAAAATCACATTTATTTAAATATAATTTAAACGGTTGTATTAGTGTTTTATAATTTTTTAACAAATTATTAAACTAAATTTTTGTTTTATACCTCTCTTTATTTGTATAGACTATTGGATTTGGTTGTTCGTCCTATTCCTCAGCCCTCTCCTAATTTGGAATATAATCAGCTCAGTCCAGCAAGAGCTATGATATACATAACATCTAATTCATTGCCATCAACATCAGAGCTAACAAGGTTATCTGAGAACATTACAAGAGCATCTGAATTAAATTTGCTTGAAACCCCTCTTGTGGTGAAGGTGAGTAGAAATACTACACTTTTAACTCTGCATCTTGAAGGCCCAAGGAAAGAAAAGTAAAGAATCTTGCTTCCTAGCTGCTAAATATTCATGATTGTGAATATTTAAAAATTCCATTATTGGTTCATTCAAATATTTCTTAAGCTCAGGTGTACAAAGCTCTGTTGGGTTTGAGGAATCTGGAGATGCTAAACTGAAAAATGACCCTGCTTTCCAGGAGCTAGGTTTTTCAGACCTAGTCTGGGGAGAGAGACACCTCTAAATTACTGTAATGTGAATTAGAATACAGGCATAAAAGAAGAGATTTTGGGAGGGAGGGATACTTATCTCTCTTGAGTGGTCCTGAGCCACTTCTCTGTGGAAGGAAAGATTTTTACATCCCAGTGGTATAGGAATTCCATTTTTATGCAAATGTATGGAGAAACAGATAAGATCCAATGACTGTTGATAAGAGAGTAGTCTAGTGTAGAATATATGAGGGGAGAGTGGATTCCTGGCCATGTTCCAGATATTTAAAGTTGCTAGGTAAATGAACAATCAGCAGGTATTAAGTATATGCTGGCCATTGGGCTTAGGCAGAGGTACAAATGTGAAGGAATAAGTCGTGGTTGAGAGAAACTTAACATTCTAATGAAGAAGACAAGAAATACATATACAAACAGAGCATAAATATAAAATGAATATATACCAAGTAGTTAAGTTAAAGTAATATAGCACTTGTATTTGATAGAATCAGGAAAAGAATTTTGCAGAAGATATTGCTTGATCTGTGTCTTAAGATGAGGGACTTTAATGAAGTAAAGGTAAGGAAGGAGTGCAGTATAGGTGTTTGGAATGGACAGGGCAAAGACACTGGAAAAGAAGGAAGACTAATTTGGTTGTACCACAAAGTACAGGAGGGGAAATAATGTAAGACTGGAAAGATCAGTTTGGACCAGGTTGTGTAGGCTTTAAAAACCGAAAAGAAGAGATTATATTTTAACCCTAAAGGCAATAAATAGGAAGCAGCTGGAGTTTGAGTGACGGAGTCAGTCACATGGTCAGATCCTATGGAAAATGATTTTGGTGTGTTTAAAGTGATCTGGAGTGGGGAATAACTAGAGACAGGGTGACCTATCCAATAAGGGGCAATAGTAGAAATCTAGGCAAGGGGTGATGAAAGCCTGTGTGAAAGTGGTAGTTGTGTGAGTAGAGAGAAGGGCTCGCATTCAAGAGATGTGGTAGAGGTTCAAATGGCAAAGTTTGGCAACTGTTTGGATATGTAGGCTGAGGAAGAGTGAGAAGAGTCACAATATGAATCTAGGAGACTAGAAATATGGTAGTACTTTCATCAAACTTTGGGAGTTTGGAAGAGCAATTAGATTGATCTACATCTAGACTAATCTCTAAAATTATGGTACCAACAGTTAATAACCGTTAAGTGCCAACTCTATGCCAGTCTCTGTGTTAGGCCACTCTGGATACAAGTACAAAATCTGTTACGTACAGAATATTTTTATAAAATTGTCCCTCCAATTTTTCAAAAATATGTCTCATTTTTAAAGGAAATGATTCTTCCTTTTACTTTGAACTTTTATATGATGTCTAAAAATCACTGATGGCTTCTTGCCCTGCTGAATTCTAGAACAGTGATTTTGGTTTATCCCTGTCTGAAATGAATAAGCATTGGTGTACCAAAATGGGCACTGAAATCATAGGAAAATTTGAGTTGAAATTTTATCTAAAACATTTGTTAGTGTTGTCATTCATTTCAGTAGTATCTGACTGTTTGTGATCTCATTTGAGGTTATTGTAGCAAAGATTCTGGACAGGTTTGTATTAACAACATCAATAATACTAAGATACTTAAAAGGTAACACAATTTGTTATCTTCAGAAATATTCTAGAATTCTAAAATTTTTTGATTGATTTTTTTTTATTGAAATGTGTGTTTCAACATGTATTTATGGAAATCAGTTTTTTAAATGGGCTTTAACAGTAAAATTCCATTGATTTCTTTTTTATAGAGAGCTAAAGCTTTGGCCACATCTATTTCTGCTGCTGGATTTCCTGAGTTTACTCCTCATTCCATCCTAAGGTCTAGTCTTCGCACAACACCTTTAGCATCTCCTTCTGGGTCACCTGGAAGATCTGTTACCCCTCCCCCGCGCGCAAAAGAAACTAGGATCTCTTTCATGGAAGAAGATGCAACTACAAAATGGAATGCTGGAGTAAGTTTGGTGGTGATTATAGTTTATGTTTATTTGTAATAAATAAAATAAAGCAAAATATTATTGTGACTTTATAGATGAAGAAACTGATGCTCAGAAAAGTTAACGGATTATCTTAATATTGTAGCTTAAATCTGCAAAAGCTAGGTGAGACTAGAACCATATTCATTGTTCTTTCCACTACACCATGCTGACTGGAATGAAAAATGTAAATATGATTATTTGGCTACCTTTTTTTACTAACCTGTAATGTTATATTCATAGTATAAGTGCCTCCAGCTTAGTTGCCTGATTAAAATAATGACTTCCTTTCCCCAGTTATTTTATTTTATTTTTTAACAATAATGACTAAGAGGAAAATAAGAGTTAAATTAACTTTGTCACAAGACAAAAATTTGCTTTTCAGTAGTACCAGACTGTAGATACTGTATGTCTATAAACTAAAGGTTACCTTTTTATATAAGTATATATAACAAAATAAGTTTACTTTGGAATTCCAGGCACACTCAAAATAATTTCTTTTTCTTCACTTATTGCTATTGCTTGTGTTTCTAGTACAATATTGAATAATATTAGTGTTAATGGGCATCTTTGTTTCACTTCTGATCTTGTTGGGAAGGCTTCTCACTTATCGCTTATTACAGATATGCTTGCTGATGGTTTTAGGTAGATGCTTATCATTTTAAGGAAAAATACATTTATACCTGTGCTTTTGAGTGTTTTTAATAGGAATGAGTATTGTATTCGGTCAGAAGCCTTTTCTGCATCTGTTGCTATAAGCCATGATTTTTTTTAACTTTTATTATTGACAAAATCAATTATGTTAATGATTTTCCTTATATTGAAACAGCCTTGAATTCCTAGTGTAAATCCCACGTGGTCACAATGCATAGTGTTTTTGATTAGCTTGTCTCCTAGCTAGTATTTTATTCAGGATTTTTGCATCAATGTTAGTGAAATTGGTCTATAATTTTCTTTCTCTGTTTTTGCTCTTCCTAGCTTATCAGCACCATATTTGTTTCATAAAAGGAGTTTAGTAGGACTCCTTTTGCCTAATATTCCAAATAATTTATTTAATATTGAAATTAGTTGATCTTTATATGTTTGGTAGAATTCGCTTGCAAATCCATCTAGTCCTGATGCTTTTTTCCTTAGGAAGTTCATTTTTGACCTGTGCAGTACTCTTAGTTAATTAGGAATGGAACTTAGTTTCTCTGTGTTATGCTGCTGGGAAGAAAAGAGGAATGGTTTTGCATTTGGGCCATCTTTATATAATCAAAGAAAAGGATTGATATGAATTTCACATTAATCACATGCTTTTACATGGTAGTTTATTGAGATAGGAATTAAACTTGTGATTTGGCATAGGGAATTCCCAGCCAGATAAGAAAACTCTTTATTCCAAATCTGGTCACATCTTCCCTGCTACTTCTTAGAGAGTTGCCTAAAGCACTTGAGAGGCTAAGTAAACCCCCAAGGACACACAGTCAGAATGTGTCAGAGTCTAGCTTTCTCTGTCATTAAACTACCTCTCAATAAAACTGCCTCTCAATAGTAGTTGTTTTTTTAAGTAACTTTTATTAATGTCAGTGTTGGTGTTCCTTCTCTCCCCACTCCTCTCAGAGCTATCCCATGTAACAAATATTTTATTTTAAAAAACATTTTATAAATAATATTTTGTCATTGTTGTTGTTGTTTTGCTAGGCAGTGGGACTAAAGGTGACTTGCCCAGGGTCACACAGCTAGTAAGTGTCAGGTGTCTGAGGCCAGATTTGAACTCAGATTTTACTGACTCCAGGGCCGGTGCTGTATCCACTGTACCACTTAGCTGCCCCTATAAATAATATTTAAAAAAAAACATAACCAACCAATACATTAAAAAGTCTGAAAATACATGCAATAGACCACACTCATGGACCTCCTCACCTTTGTGGTGGTTCGGAGTGTCTTCTTCTATCTCTTCTTTTGAGCAATACTTGTTCTTTAAAATTTTGCAACATCCACTTTTTGTGTCATTCCAACTATTATTGTAGTCGTTGTTTGTATTATTTTATTGGCTCTGTTTGCTTCACTCTGCATCAGTTCATGTAGATTTTCCAACCTCTGCATATTCATCATGTTTGTTATTCCTTACAGCACAGTAATATTGCATTACATTTTTGTACCACAGTTTGTTAGCCATTCCCCATGCACTTTGTTTCCACTTCTTTGCTGTCATAAAAGGTGCTGCTGTAAATAGATATACATGGGAACCTTCTTACCAATGACCTCCTTGTGGTACAAACCTAGTGCTGGAATCTCTGGATCTAAAAGTTGTGGACATTTTAGTTTACTTTATTTTCATAATTCCAAGTGATATCCACAGCTGGTTCACAACCAGCAGTACACTAGTGTTCCTGTTTTCCCACAATACCTCCAACATTGACTGTCTCCATCTTTTGTCTTTTCTCCCAGTTTGTAGGGTTTGGGGGTTGTTTTAATTTTAATGTCCCTTATTAATGACCCAGAGCTCTGTGGCAATTAATAGCTTGCAATTTTTTTGAGAATTGTTTATTCATAGCCTTTGATTTACTGGAGAAAGGATTTTGGTTTTCTCACTTCTCTCTTTTCTCTCTTATTGATATTATCATGGATACAAATGCTTATTCTCATGCAACAACTTCTCTTCTTATCCTTGACACATTAATTTTGATTGTGCAGAAATTATTCTGGGTCTTGTAGAATATGGTATTAAAAAGTACCTATTAACACTCTTAAATTTTCCCCAACCCCCCTTCTCAAAAAACAGCAGCAGCCACTAGAAATAGAGTTCCTTGTGTGCTACTGTGTGTCACCTGGCTTTATACCCAGGAAATTAATTCGTTTACCTTGATATTGTAGAATAAATAATTCTCCCCACAACTATTTCAGTGGCTATCTTTTTAAATTATAGGCCTATTATTTCTAACCTCTTCAATAGTAGTTTTCCATTGTAGTGTGATTTGAAGAATACTATAAAGCCTACCTGTCCAAAAACATCTCACTTTTTGGAAGATTCAAATTTTAAAATTACTCTTTTGGGTTTATAAGTCACTACTTCTTTGGAAGTCCCTAAATGCACGTGCAGCTATATTCCTTGGCAGAAGAGATTCAAAGCAGGTAGATTTTGAGAAGGCAGAAAGATAGGAACAATACTATGTGTGGCCTGTTGACTGAAAAAGGCTGACTTGGGGGAAGCACTATACTACAGGAATCCAAGTAACAATAACCATCAAACAATTTTATCTAGTATTGAGCCTGATGATTTTTACTTAAAAATTTAACTCCTTTTAAAACTTTTTTTTAAATTTAAAAGGTTACCGAAGACAATAAAGCAAAATTATTTGTACCCTCACCTTTGCATAAATGTGGAGTTCATTCAGAGAATGTGTGGCTGAAGAGCAAAAATAAGACTTCATCTTTGGTCCCTAGTGGCCAAAAAGAGGAACATGAAGAGGCAGTTGAATTAACACAGAATTCACCTATGGAGAACACAAAGAAATTAGAAGTGACTAAAGAGAATAGCAATATTCTTACCAAGTCAGCCCGGACCACCTTGGAGTATGAGGCTGCTCCATTGCCAGATGACATTGAAGATGAAGATGATATTATTTTCATTTTTTCCAAGCCAGCAAACATTTCAGCTGACTTAACTGGTGACTTAGAAGTGCAAAAGAAGGAGGATGACAAAGAAGGTACTGGGCCAGAAGTAATATCTTCAGAGACAGAAGAGCAAAGTGGTATGTTTTTGAGTAGTTTTTCTAATTTAGTGTATGATTATTGTAATTATTGTATGATATTGATTACTTAATTTATAGAACAGAATTTTTAATCTTTTAACTTCTCTACATAATATAGAAATCATGAAGTGCCTACTCATTAAACTTAAGTTCTAAAGAAGGCATTATCAATCAAATATAAAAATATTAATGAATTTGGGAACTTTTTTTAATCTTTCAGTTTCTAAAGAATTTGAGCAAGATTTGTAATTTGTTGATAGATGTAACCACAGTACCTTGCATATAATACGACATGATATTTATTAGATCTCACAGTACTAACAAGCCTGATTAATATGACTTCTTAGCCTTACAAGTAGATTAAAAGCAGCAAAGTAGAAATGAAGAAGGAGCTGTTGGAAACAACAAGAAATAACAGCTCTGTTTTATTACTCTGAAGCAGAGGAAAAGATAGAAAAACAATGAAAAGGCAAAGGCTATTTAATTTGAAGGGTCAGTCCTCCATACCTTATTATAGTTCTGATTATAGCGAATCATTGGAAAGATTAAAATTAGTGTTCATTTTATTTTTTAAATTAGGCAGTAAAATATAATATTTTAGAAAGACTATCCTTTTGTTAAAAGAAAAAGGACCTTTAAATTTAGGTGGTTTTCATTGTCTAGAAGATGATATCAGACAACTGAGCTAATGGGAGGTATTGTTATAATAAGATAATAAAATTATTTTCTTTTTCAATTTAATAAAATCACAGAAAGTTATTGCTGGGAAATGATCTTTCCTATCATGTAGCTTATTAATTGGTTCATCTAACAAATGAGGAAACTGAAGTAAAAAAGATTAAATGATTTTCCCAAAGCTTTCAACTTTCTAGTATCAGAAGTAGGACTGTAACCAAAGCTTCCTAATTTCATATTCATGTCTTCATAGCTGTGTGACTATATCTTATTGTCTTCCAAAAGAAAATAAGATTTAAACTTTAAAAATTTTTAGTATAAATAATTTGGGGGAGATTGGTAACTCTTAGCCATTTGTAACTTACAGGTGTTTTGAAAGAGGATGAAAACAAAATGGAAATGGCCTCAGTTTCAATATCTGGAATTTCAGAATTAAATCACCCAAGCTCCATTCACGTTTCTGAACCTTCACCTTGTGCCTTATCAGACCATGAAAGGTAAGTTTTTTGGAGGACAATGAAAGTCTTCAAAAACAAGCCACTAAAAAATTTAAAAAGATATTTTTTGTTCCATTTCACTTTATTTAGATCTTTGAAGTTTTCATTTTGATAGTAGTAAGTTTTCTCTTAATGATGAGAATTGATATAATTACTTAGTTGGAAAAAAGTTTTCTTCCCAAAAAAGTCCATAATTTTTAGTCTCTTCATTTCTTATATCTCCTCTGACACTGAGAAGGACTCTGATTCAGTACTGCCCACGTATAATTTAGGATAGAAGGTAGATTCAAATAGTGACTGGTAGGACCAAATAGTATACTAGCATAGAAGCCATGATCAGCTTTGTACTACATGCACAAGATCTAGCTCTGCTATTACTGCTAGTATTCATCCCCAGACTGGACACTGTTATCATTTGATTTTGTTCAGAAAGTTCATATAGGTCCCATTATAGCATGGTGTATAGTATATGGTACAGTACAAAGATGACTGACCTGATCAACAGGATTGGAATGTAAAATGAACGTTTTTAATGTGTCCTGTATCATACTAGAATTATGTTATGTAGAAGTCTTATACTTCGGTTTCTAGAGGTTGGTATAATTGGAAAGAGAGAAGATAGGGATGGCCAAAGAGAAAAATGTGACTTTATTTTCCTTTGGAAACAAGTGGGTGGTGCCTAGATCTGTCTACTCTTCCTATATCCCTATTGCCTTCTCCTTATTTCATGCACTTCTGTATCTCTGATTCCCAGTAACCCTTCAGTGGTCTAAGGTTCCAAAATTACCACCATCTTCTTTCCAATTAAAATTCTTTCACCGTCTCAACTAAATGTTGAACAGATTCTCTGATTAGAGTGGATGACCTAAGGTGTGAGTTAAATATAGGTTTATCCATCTCTAAAGAAGAGCCTATTAACTCCATTCTCTGATTGATAGGTTGTATGGAGAAGTTTTTTGCTTTTGATTTGGGTTGATGTGTTCATATATTGTTTGCCTCTTCCAGGAGCTAACTTGACCCTCTGCTCTCACTCCCTATAAATCCCTCAGGGAACAAAATGCATAGGATTTACATTCTTTTAGCATTATTGGGAGCAGGGGTTGGGAGAGGGGGGCAGTGCAAGATTCCATAGATGCTCTGTAAAAACAGGAAGGTAAAACAATATTCCTTGAAACACTAAAGTAGTAAGACTTGATTCCCCAAGGCACACGTGAAAATTATTGTACATCTTATCTATAATAATGTGTTCAATTGTGTGCTTCAGGAGTTCACAGAAGACAGATCAGTATGAATGAAGTAGCTGGGGAAGGCTTTGTGGAAGAGGTGGGACCTAAGCTGTTACTTCAAGATCAAAAATATATATTACAGTTAACAGCGCAAGATTATCAAATTGTCTTTATTGTTCGGTACTGGAATTTGTTTTTATCGTGTATTGAATTGAGTGGTTCATTAATTTAAATAAGTTTAAAATCTTTTGGATTTTTAAAATTGTGACATAGCAACTATTCATGAAGCTTAATTAGCTAATAAAAAGCTATTTTCATAGCTATCTATGACAGCATAAACAAATGCAGACCATTTTGTTAAAGATTTTTATATTTTATGAAGTTTTGTTATTGTAAAGAAATATGATTCATTTATCCGTGCTAAGGACTAGGAGTAGCTGATATAGATAGTTCTAAATAGCCTATATCCAAATCATTTATATATTGCTTTAAAATTCATTATCGTGGAAACAGAAGTGGATTAGAATCCCAGGACTTGCTATTCAAATTCCACCTCTGCCTTACAGTTTGACCTTGGGCAAGTCAGTACACCTCCCTGGGCCTAAATTTCCTCGTCTTTAAGAGGCTTAGACTAGTTGGCTTTTGATGTCCTTTTTCAGCTCTTAATCTGTGATCATCAGAGGATCTCTGCTCCCAACCTATACCTATCCTTTGTCATCTTGGTTATTACAGTAACCTCCTTGTGATAGCCTTTCATGTAATTCAGATCCATCCAGTATAGTGACAACATATTACTCTTTTTAAAATACTATGTTTATTATGTCCCTCTCCTGTCTAGACTTCTTAGATTAATATTTACAACTCTCAGCCCCTCAAACACTATACTTCCTTATCTCCCACCATTTCCCAAGGAAAAACTTCCACTCTAACCTGATCAAGCCACGTCTTTGTCCTGTGAACCATCATGCTTATTCCTATTTCTTTTAGTCTTTGGTAATAGTATTCTCTCTACCTACAATGTCCTCTAGATCTCTCCACACTTCACTCCTGTTTGTCCCAGAAATACAGCCTCCTGTTCTAATCTGGAATCCCATCTAGATACTTCTGTAGTACTTATTTTTATGTATTTTTTTTTACTTCTAATAATGTGTTTCATTGTTTATATCTGTATATGACATTGCCTTAGTAGCCATCAACACTTTTCCTTATTTCATTAATTGCATCCTAAAAATAAGACCTCATGAGGCAAAACAGTGTTGTAGGGAACAATTATAGGAACAATATTCTAAATGTAATGATATAAAAATGGACATTCATCATTTATTTATTTTTAAGTGAGTGAGTTTTCTTGATAAATGAATATTATAGTATAATGATGAGGTAAGATGATATCGGTCAGAGCAACATTCTTCATAATATGCCAGATTATACAATGCTTTATGGTTATGAGCTGTTCTAAATATATTCTCTCATTTGAGCCTTAAAACAACTCTGCAGGGCAGGTATAGTGCTGGTATTACCTCCATTTTACCGAAGTCATGAAGTTACTGAGATTCAGTGACTTATCCAGGGTTGTTAAGTGATGGAACTGGAACTCAAATTCAGCTCTTATCACTCTAAGACCACTACTGATCTTTCTGCTGTGCTATGTTTATCTCTCCTTATGTTCAGAAGATCATAGATTTAGGACTGAGTTATCAAGCTTTCATTTTAGTATTCACACAGGTATTGATAGAGCTGAATACTTCATCTAGGCCCTCATGACTACCAATCCAAAACCTTGTCCACTGTTATTTATCGACAGGGACTGTGTACTAACCTTCTCCACTCCACAGTGCCTTCTGCAAGGTTGTTAGCAAACACTTGTTGAATCTATTTGGAAATTGGCTGTGGATTTCTAGGATAGACTGAATATATAACTTATAGTTTAAATTAGAACCTTAATGTACATCAACTTTTTAGGATGTTGAGTAATGGTATTTTAAAATATTACTACGTTTTTATTACTCTAGACCTATTGGATATGTTGTTTTATTTGAAAATACAGGAACAACTCCTGATGTAACTGTAATTGGTAAGCATATAGTGAAGTGAAAGAAAAAACAAGAGTGAGTAAAAATGTTGTAGAAAGGTACTATATTCCCCCTGTAATTTATATAACATTAATTGAAATTTAGATTTTTATCTTTTGCATTCACATTTTCTTTATTTGTAAAATGAAGGTCTTGATCTCTTAAACTTTCTTTCAGCCCCTGTAACATGCTATGATTCTATTTCTTTTTTTATCATAAACATAATATACAGTCAACAAAAGCAATATAAATCCATAAACACATGTGATAAGTCGTACATTTTAACACAGTAGATCTGTGATTCTGTTTCAAAAGGGAAATCTTCACCCAGGAGCCCAAGTTGCCACTTCTGGATGAAAAACAGTTATCTGATGAAATATGTACCACCACAGTTGGAATAACACGAGCAAATGACGAATGTATGTATACCCTAAAAGTTGAGAGTCAGATGCATTCTAGTATTGTCTGGAAACACAGATTTTATTTTCTTTGAAAGGGGAAACGAGCAAAGGAGAGTGGGAAACAATGGTATCTGTGCTATATTATTTCTCTTTTCTCCCTTTCCATCCATTTTCTCTTTAGTTGCAAGATGACAGAATGAGAAGAATCTAGCACTGTTGCTAAAGGTGTGGTGGGTCATTTCTTTCTGCTTTCACAGTATTAGCCATAGCATTTGGTGGAGAATGTTTTGGCATGGTAATTATAGGCATTGCTGGAATATTAGGCACAGAAAGGAGCTGACCAGCTCATTAATTCACAGCTGGAAAAGCTACCTGGCCTGCTGATCCCAAATGACAGGTATTCCATTCTTTGTTCACCTAGTGATTTATGGCTCTACAGTTTAAAAAAAAAATAGGGGAAACTGACTTTATCCCTGTAGAGTTATGAGAGTGTTGAAATGTAACTTTAGGACAGGTGTTTAGCAAGCTGTTTAGCATGGAGTGCCAATAGCAGGACTAAGATCTGCAGTGCCTGTTGGTAGCAGAAGTTTTGGAGAAGGAAGAAATTAAGAGTAAGAAAAAGAGGTAATGGAGATGAATGATAAGGTACTACTAAAGTTTACATAAACATGGGTCAAAAGACTATAGTTTTTCTTAATATTTCCAGTTGGGTGGCTCTTCCAGCCAGAAACACCAAAAAGCTATCTAGGGCAGGAGTAGGGAACCTGTGGCCTTCTAGGTCTTTGGGTGTGGTTTTTTGACTTGAGGCCAAGTTTTACAGAAAAATCCTTCTATTAAGGGGAATTATTCTGTGAAGTTTGGATTCAGTCAAAGGATGGCACTTGAGAACCTAGAGGGCCACATGTAGCCTTGAGGCCAAAGGTTCCCCAATGAACCTTGTGTGATATACTATTTAAATCAGGATATCCACTTGCCAAAAGTGACCTGTTGAATGAGCTTTCGGACTGATTAAGGGATAGGAATTTGAGTTCCTTAGTCCGCAGGTCATGGCATTATTTGAATCAAGAAGGAAACGTATTGTATTTTAGTCAGAAGTGGTAGCTGGAAAAAAATGCAGAATATGTTTCAGCTTATGTGTTTTCTTTAAGTAGAAATGAAATGTGGGCAATCAAAACAATTGTAAGGTATTCCAGTCTTGTCAGTGATAGAAAATAGGTTGATAGGTATTTTATCCATTATAGAATTCATAGTACTAGCTTGCTCTTGAGTATTATGTAAGTTTTAAAAACAAGTTGAGAACCAGTAAGATTTTCAAAATAAGTTGCAACCAGTAAATCAGAATAGGGTCTAAGTGGAGTATAATTTGTTTTCTTCTACTGGCTTTCCCCAGTTTCAAATTCATCAGATTAGTCAATTAATGGTTATCACTATCTTTCAGCTGTGATGAGTATCCTGCATGTCAATGAAAGTTCTGTGCCTGTTACTTCTGAAACTCCTACAACCGATACCTCTGAAAATAGACTTAAACAAGAAATAGCCTTAGATTTAAAGGAAGATTGTGAAATAGAGGTTGATGCACCAGAAGAAAATGCTAATTTACCAGAAGAAAAACCATCAGTTTCTGACAGTTCTGAATCTCAAGAAATTCATGTAAGAAAATGTTTCCCACATTTTGAACTATCTATATGAGGTCAGTTGGATCTGTCCAATTTTTCCATCTTAGTTTCTATAATTATTATATACCATAATGATGGAGTAAAGTATATTTTCTGTTTTTATACTGTGTAAGCCTTTTAAGTAATATATACTGATTAGAAAAATTGTACCACCATTTCCTTAAGCCTCTGATTTTATGAAAATTAAGAGGCTATCTAATAACTAAATCAGCATCTTTGAGGAAGTTAGTTTCTTGGTACACAATTAATATTTGAAGATTTTTAGACATAATCTTAAACCGATAATGGCTACTCAAAAGAGAAGGGTAAGGAATTCAGAATGAATTGTTCTTTGACCAGTCATTTAATTGAGATAAGTTTAGAAGTAATTAGGCTAATGAAAGTGATTTTCTTTTTAAACTGGATTTTTTATTCTACTAGAGAGTTAAGTAGCATTCAACCAGACATAATTGAACTTATTTACATTCACAAGTTTTTCAGGGGTTTTTTGTTTGTTTGTTTGTTGTGATTTTTAATTTAGAAACTTGTTTGTGATTTTTAGTTTTTGGAATCCTACCAGGCCATTCTTTTGTCAGTAGGCAGTAGTGACATTGATAACATGCCAGTATAAAGCATTTCAAATGAAAATCTTTTGGTTTTTGTTCTGAAAAAAACAAATGCATAATGCATTTATAATGTTTTAAAGCTCTTTTTTTTTAATGACTTGTCAATTCACTTTCTTTGTACCCTGATTAGCCACATTCATGTCACTAGCCACATTTTGCTCCTTAGCAAAAAGATAAATATCTGAATCCCCATTCCTTCAAGTTGGAATGCTAATGAAATTGTGGTGATGGCATGAATGGAAGAGAAATTTTATTTCTAAGAATTGCCCTTCTCTTAATCTAACTGAATGTTTGGGAAATGGGAAGCTGGCTGTGTTCTCAGTGGTGGGTAAAATTGTTCTACCTACTTGGTCAGGAGATCTCTGTTGTTTCTACTTCCTCCTTTTTCTCCCCTTCCCTTACCAAAAGGTAAATGCAAGGACCATTCCTTCTTCCACCAATCCCTTGCAAGAGAGGTATTCAACTTGAAAGCCTTAGGAATTTCATGGTTTATGCAGTCCCAGCCAAAGGGAAGAGGATTGAGGCTAGCCCAAGGGAGCTTATGTAGGTGAACTCTTCTTCAACCTTATGGGGATCATTCTATTTAGAAAAGTATGGATAGTTGTTAAGTCATCTGGGGGTTATTTAGAAATAATATTTTCTCTCTTCTCCACTGATATCTCACATAGTACTTTGTCCCCCTTATGTTCATATTATATGTTATAGTCCCTAGAGTATGTATATGTCTACTAGACTATGAGCTTCATGAAGGCAGGGACTATGTCTTATTTACTATTTATATTTTTTCCAGCACTTAGCATAGTACTTTGTATGGGCTTAATTAAATGTTGCATAAATGAATGAAATGAAGTACTTTGTTTCCCCCAAGGTTCTCTTCCTCCACCCTCTACCTCCTACCCCCTCAAATAGAATAATACTTTTAAGTGCTCTTTATTCTCCTCACAACTATTATTATTACAAAACTTTAGAACATAAAGCCGTTTTTCTAAAGGAGACAACCTGGCCTTTGTGCCTCAAATCTAGATACGGCTGATTGCTGAAACAGAACATTTCCTATTTAGCTATTTTGACTGAAAACTGCAAAATCCCATATTTTAAAATAATGCTTATGTGTTTTATAGGTATATCTATGTCTTATATATATATTCTCATTATCTAGTTTATGATTGAAAAGTTAGGGTAAAACTGACTCCAAAACTCTTGTTAAGTCTTTGAAATAAATTCATTTATGGAGATGTTTCTTAATAGATTTTATATTTTAATATATTTTAGGTGATTGAACATGAAAGAGTTGAAGCCTTGGCATCAGGAAAAGAGACTGGGACACTTTCATTGAATGAGTTGTATCCTTCAAGAACTCTAAAACTTCAGTATAACTTTGATACCATTGAGCAACAGTTCACTTGTGGCTTACCTGATAGCAAAGATTCTGCTGAATGTGACATGGCTGAAGTAGATGGAGAGCTTTTTGTGACTCAGAGCAACTTTACCTTGATATTGGAAGGTGAAGAAGGAGAAGTTGAAACAGGAGATTGTGCCACATCTGATGTGTCAGCTAAAACAGCTAATATTGCAGCTGAGAAGGAGAAAGATTACAGTGATGACAGTGGTAAAGGTGAACATCTTAAAGATTTGGCACCTGTCAGAATAAATGATCAAGAGTCACAAAATGTTGTGGAGACATTACCATATGTGCCAGAACCGATTAAGGTTGCTATTGCCGAAAATTTACTAGATGTCATTAAAGACACAAGGAATAAAGAATTTGCTTCAGACACAGTAGAACAAACTATCCTTGAAACCATGCCTTTAATAACTCAGAAGGTAATGCGTTCCACCAAGGCAGAGAAGGAAACAAATCTAGTAGATTTAAATGATAGTCAAGGCAGTGGCATGATACCTTCCAGAACACGAACAAGAGGACAAAGCATCAAAAATCTAAAGTCCAGATCAAAACTTGAGGAGAAGTCCTCAGACATTGCAACACCTGAAGTACTAGAGCTTTCTGCTATAAAGAGAAGCACCAGGAAAACAAAAGAAAAATCTGAGATATCTGAAAGTGCCTTTGCTGAAATTGAAGCAGCCTCTCAGAACATATCCCAGGATTCTGTCACTCCTAGAAGACGAAGGAAAAAAAATGTTAATCTGGATACATTAAAAATTGCTATTGAACAGGAATTACAAGATTCTACAACTTCACAGAGAGAGTTGAGGATGAAATCGTCTCAACTTTCTGAATCATCAAATGAAGAAACTCCCCATAGTAAAGATGTTAAGCTTCTTTCTGCTACAAGAAGAACTTTGAGAAGAACAAAAAAATCTGTAGAGGAGCCAGAGAGTAGTGAATTATTAAATGACCAGAACATTAAATTAGCAGCCAGTCCTGGCAGAAGTAGAAGGAAATTAAGAAGCACTAACATGGAACTCTCTGAAAATGTTGGTCCTAATCAAGATAGTGCATCCAGTGAAGAGAAGCACCCTATCCAACAGAGTGGGAGACGCAGAAGGAGAATGAATAACACCTCTGTATCTAGAGAACATTCTCAACATGATTTATCTGAACTGACTTCTGAAACAGAGTTTAAGACACCGGCTACACCTAGGAAACGTGGCAGACCAAGAAGAGTAAATCCATCAGAAGATCAAGAAATTCAAGAAGTTAGTACTGAGAAGAAACAGACTCCTCCTACCCTGAGAAGATCTACAAGAATCACTCCAGGTAAAACTGGCAATAATCTTGGAAACCTAACCTCAGAAAACAACCGTTTATTACCAGATGGAGGACTGACTACAACATTGAGTTCTAAGAGGAAGTTGACAAAAGTGACTGAAAATCAAAGGAGAAAAAATAAACTTCCTTCCGTATCAGAAGGAAGCACAGATGAAGAAATAACCCTCAAGGACTCCAGAAGCAAAGAAGTACTGCATGCTGATAATGGTTTGACCAATTCTTCTCGTAATACAAGGACTAGATCCAGCAAGACTATAATTTTCCCTAACTTTTCTGACCCCCAAACTGACTCTTTTTTATTTTCTTCACCTGTTTCAAAAGTTACAAGGAAGACAAGAGGTACACTTTTTTTTATTTCAGACCAAAATAAATTCCATTCAGAGTCTAAAGCTTAAAGTAGGCTTTCATGGGATTGTTTTAAGACCTAACTGTATGAAGACTAAAATGTATCATTTAAGAATGAACATACTTCTGTTCTCTTTAAATGGGTTTGGTTTCATTTACTTTTAGTTCTTGTGGTTTATTTCTCAGTCAAGCAGTACTGATTGAGGATTGGTTTTTTACTTTTTTTTTTTCCAAATTGCTGGGTTTTTCTATATAGTATTCTCAAATAATATATTCTAGGTAGCATTTTTGTAAATTTCTTTACTAAGGAGTTTGAATTTTTTTTTAGTTGCTTCTTTCTCCTCCTTTTTTGGCTCTTCATAAGCCAAAAGTAATGTTTTTTTCATCAAATAGTTTTGGGTATAACCAATGTGTTATTAATTTTTAATTACTAATTCTATTATTTCTTGAACTAACTACCTGCTTCAAAGCATATTTTTATCTTGAATAATTACTTTGGCCCTCATCTCACTATTCTGTTTTTCCTCTCCCTTGTCTCAAGTGGGTTATGAGCTTTGTTCATCACTTCCTTCACTTTCCTAAATAAGTTGTATAATTAGCTTTTTCCCAAAAAAACACCAATCTTAAAACTACTTTCAGCCTCTCCAGTGACAGTACACAAAAGTGTTCTTTTCTAGGCTTAAAAAGGTTTCCCTCTACCCTTCCTATCCCCTAACTAAAAACTTGAGAGGTAGTTTTACCATCTAAAAATGATTTTTTTTCTTTCAAAAATAGAGTCTCTTGTTTGCTTTCTGATCAGCTAGTATCTGGAAGTTATTGATTGTTGTAACATTGCCAGTCCTATTAAGGATACTTATTTTAAAGCAGATTAACCTTATGTATGTAATTATTTAAGTGGTATAAGTTTACTATTCAAACTCAAGTTATGGTTATGTAACTATAATAATACTTTAGCTAGTAGTAAATTTAATTCATAGTAAGGTAAAAGCACATACATGATTGGTGAGTTAAGGAACATTACTTAGGACCAGTCTAACTCTTGAAATATGAAGACAGTGTCTTAAACTCTGTCATGCGCATAATATGTTAATATATTTGTATTTTAAAAATCTCCCATTAAATTGCCCTTTAAAAAATTTGAGTTTGCTACCTTGTAAATCAAGTGAGAGGGTCAAAAAAAAGTTTCAAGTAGATTGTTTGATACTGTGGCCCCACAAAGATACAGTGTAAATTCCCATATAAATGTCAGAATGTCAGAGTTCTGTCCCATTCCAGATATAGAAGAGACCTTTCAGGTAATTAGCCAAATTTGTTCTTCCTAAAGTGTGATAGAAAGTATAATTGCTTCTGTTTAGGAGATGTTTAATGAATAAAAATTATATCAACTGTCTAGTGTTTTTATATGCATTCTGAATTACCCTAGGTAGTTATTATAAAATTTCCTTTTTTCTTCTGAGTCAGTAAATAAACTCAGATAAGTTATCCATTGGTTAATGAGTTTCTAGTTAAGGCAAAGCCACATTAAAGAGATAACAAATGTTAAAGGTATTTAATCAAACTCGGCACAAATGTGAAGCTAATTTCTAATGCGAAAAGAAAAAAATAATAACATTTATTCCAGGGAGAATCTCATCTTTTTGTGATTTCTAAAGTGAAGTACCTGTTTTGAGTTAACATAAAATAATAGGGAGAGGAGTTGTTATACAGAGAACCTTAGAAGAAAGAAGTAAATGTAAGAGCTTTATGTAAAATCAAGACGTCTATTTATTTACATTCTTAAAACATTAATTTTGTTAATAAAAGCCTCTGTTATGGCATATAAGTTTTGTGTGTCAATTTTAATAAATGTCCAGTTTTAATTGTCATGAGTACTAGATTAGTAAAAGTAAGAAAATTTGGCCTTCTAAGTCCTGGCTTTGTCATTTTACTAGTGCTTTTTTAAGGATCTTAGTATTTTAGAAGCAAAATTAATTTGTGGGGGAGGGGGAGGTCAAAACTTAAATATGTAAAAAATCACCTCTCAGGGTTCGCAAAATGATCTCGATGTATATTTAAGAATTTTCTTTCACAGGTTTATAAATGAACATCCTTCTGAAATACTATATTAATCTCGGAGATCCCTTTCATGAATAGAAAGGAAAAGGCTACAGATCAGATTCTGCAATAACAATGTCTGTATATAGGTACAAAAGAGATCTGGTTCTCAGTTATTCCATTTTGATTTCTCCATGATAAACCTTGATTTTAGCTTCTTTGAGACACATTCATATCTTTTGCTTACTTAGCCCCTTTGTTGATATCATTATCATTTCTGCTTGTCTTTTAACTGAATTCCAATGTAAAGTCCAGAATAGCTACAAAAGTTTCAAAAGTTTTTAACTTTATGCTAAAATACTGATTGAGTCTCATCCCCAGGAAGGCATGAATCAGATAATAATAACATGGACGAGTAAGATAGTATGGCAGTACATTTGAGCCCAAACACTGAATAGAGAAGAGTAAAATAACAGAATAGAAAACTTATATAACTTTCTAGCTACTCTTTTGAAATCTTCACAGAATGACATTATTCTGGTTGAAACATTATAAACTCCCAGTCACCTGGGTTAAGTCGAATTGACTTGAGAAAGGGTCTTATGGATTTAGGAAAAAAGTCCTTGGAAATCCTTTAGTCCAACCCTTCTTTTTACAGATAAAGTAACTGAGGCCCAGAAAGCTCAGGGGACTTGTCTCAGGTCATACAGGTGATAATTAGTAGTATAACTGGGGTTTTTAAACCCAGGTTCTATGACTCCATATCCAGTGCTCTCTCCACTATCACATTGCCTCTTGGAATTATTACTAATGCTGCTCCCCTCTGGCCAACACAACTTATTACAATGATTAAAAATGTAATACACTTTTGGGTAAATGCTAGCTTCAGGTATAGATGGAGATGCTTTTGCGGCTTTATAACATATACCATTTGCTCTGAACTTTATTTTTCTATTCATGGATTTTTGCACTTAAATTTAATTATGTATTTGTGATTTTTTTTTAAGCTCAAAAAATAGAAACCACTGTACAGTTGAAGGGCCTAGTTTCAGATTTGTCCTCTCAATTTGTCTTCTCACCCCCTACTTTGAGGACCACACGAAAACAGGCATCTGAACTTTCACAGATTGTAAAAGAACTGGTAAGGATTATGTTGTTGCTGGTTTTAATCTCTCAAAATACCCTTTTTTTTCCTTGAGGCATGTCTCTAATGCCAGTTTAAGTGGCAGTCACATGTATATTAACATAAAGCTGCCTCAGTTTTTAGTTGAAAATTCTGGCCCTTTATGCCAAATATCCTGGCAGTTACTAACAGCTGTGAATGTGATGATATTAGAAGTAATTCTCTATTGGTTTCTCTGTCAGTTTTCACATTGTATTTAATGTACTTAAAATTTTTTTTTTAATCCAAAGGAATTGCCAGTTGAAAATGACCCAAAATCAGTAGAAACTTCGGAAAAGCAAAAAGCAAAACGAATCAGGACAACAAAAACAAAAGCAAGCAAGTATGGAAAACTTTTCAACAATATAACATCTGTTTTCATTCAATATTAGACTGGAATAAGAACTGAAACTTTTTAATTAGTTTTGGGGAACTCAGAATTTTTTGTCATTGATAAACTGTACTTACATGAATTCCTGAAAGCAGTCTTTTATTATGTCATAATTATATACTCTAAAAGTGTATAAAATAACAATTCTGCTATTTTAGGTGAACAAGCAACTCTTTCATTTTTATCTTTGAATCTCCAGAACCTAGCAGTGCCTAGTGCATAGCAAGTGCTTTGCTTGTTGATGGTTTGATTAATTTAAAAGGGCTTATTATTATTATTATTATTATTATTATATAACATTATATTATTAGCATATTGCTAATAGTGCAGGAGGTGAGAAAGTTAGCTATCATATCCGTCCCCTGGCCATAAATCTTAGATTTTTCCAAGCTAAAAAAATCCTCATCTGATCTTCATGTAACATAGTTTTGAGACTTCACTATTCTGGTTTTCCTGCTATAATTTTCAATGTCTCTTAAAATTTTTTCTCCACAGAACAAAACATTCCAGAAATTGTATAATCCAAGAAAAGTATAGCAGGACTTATTTTGTTTTGGGCACTGTGCATATAGTACATAATTTAAGACATTAGCTTATTTAATAAGCTTATCACTAACTGACATTGAACTTTCAGCCTGATTTTTCTTTTTTTTTTTAAACATGAACCATCATTGAGCCATATCTCCTTTATCCTGTATTTATACAGCTGATTTCATTAATCTTTTCGTAAGACTTTTACAACATGAACTTTTAAAATGCAAAATACAGGATAACAGTTTTTGAGCATTTGGAAGCACCTCAAATACTGGTTAAATGCTTTGTATTCTAAATGGAATAAAAAAAATAAATGTCCCCTCAAAGTTCCACTGTTTTCAAATGTCATAGAGGGAGAAAAGAGAATTTTTAAAAAATTCACTAGGAAAAATGAGAAAGGAGAGGGACTAGCCTACAGTTCATATAATTAGAGTTAATAACATCCAAAATGGAGAAATGGATGGGCAGTAGTAGGGCTTTCAAAAAACTTAACTATTTTCTGAGTCATACAAGAGACAGTTGAAAACATATGTACATTATGTGGTGTAAAAATACGTTAAACTCATCAAGAAAAATGGATAGGTACAGGAAAAGAGTATTTAATAGTGAAGGTCAATCCAGAGAAAAAGTAGTCATAAGCAAACATCACCTTTGTTTAGTGAATCAAAAAGGAAGATTTCAAGAAGAGGTAGTTGAAGAATTGGAGATCAGCATCTGGGACTGTGTTAAAAGAAGAGGTTGGGAAGGGCAGTAGGAAAATATGATGGAGGGAAATACACAGTTAACATCATAACCTTGAATGTAAATAGAATTGATTAATCTGTGAAACAGAAGGGCAGCAGAATGAATTAGAAAGCAGAATCCAGCAGTGAATTGTTAATAAGAAATCTACTTGAAACAGATTCACACAGATTTAAAATGAGGGGCCTGGAGCAGTTTTGTGCTTCAGGTAAATACAGAAAAGGACATTGTAGCAAACATGATCTCAGACAAGACAAAATTAACTGCCTTGAGAAGAGAAAAGCAGGAGAATTACATCACAGTGAAAATACCATAGATAATGAAATAGTAGAAATACTTAATATGTTGTATAGTTGTATACATGTATGTATCTATAAATGTCTACGCTTATCTATGTATATCTTTTCACAGGTGGAGATATATACATGTATAGATACAGATATCTACACACAGACACAGACGCACACACACACACACACACACACACACACGTTCACCAAATGGCATAGCATCCAGGTATTTAAAGAAGAAAATTAACCATTGATGGAGAATTTTAGACAGTGTCAGATCTCACAAAATAAATAAGTTATCTCAATAGAATTCTAGAAATATTACATAGACTAGCTCTCTAGTGATTACTCAATGAGAATAGAGAGGAATACACACACATTTCTCAACTCCTAAATTGGTACCTTTGTAAAATTGTGTATTTGGTAGGTTATAAAATCCTCCAAAAAATGCAGAAAAGAAAATAGGGGCAGCTAGGTGGCACAGTGGATAGAGTACTGGCCCTGAATTCAGGAGGATCTGAGTTCAAATTCAGCCTCAGACACATAACATTTACTAGCTGTGTGACTGGGCAAGTCACTTAACCCCATTGCCTAGCCAAAATAAATAAATTCAGGAAATCTGAAATGTTACACATTCTTTACTCACCACAATGCACTAAATGTTATAATTTAAAAAGGCCCTTTGAATAAAGGATTCAAACTTAAATGGAAACTAATCTTAAAGAATGTGGTTTAAAGACCAGATCTTAGAAACAATACATAATTTTAGCAAAGAAAATGACAGTAAAACGACATAAAACTTTGGAGATGTTACCCAAAAAAATCATTAGAGGGGGAAAAAAATCTGTAAATGTTTTCATCACTGAGAGAGAGAATAAATTGGACATGTGGCTTTAAAAAAAATTTGGAAAAGCTTGAAATAAAATCTTAACTGGATGCAAAAAATAGAGATTCTGAAAAAATCCAATATTAAAAATTGAGTAAACTATTAAAAAAAAAACTCCCAAAAAGGGAAGGGAAAGGAGGGGCAGGGAACAGGACCAAGTTGATTTATCAGTAAATTCTGTATTCAAAGAAAAAATCTATCCTAATATTTCCAAGTTGTTTGCAAAAACAGAGATATAAAACATCCTAATAATCTCCTGTGAGGCAAGTATCTTGATACAGAAGAAGAAAACAAAGAAAGAAAATACAGATTACCATCTTCAATGAATAGTGATATAAATACATTGAGCAAAATATCAACAAAAAGACTACTACATGAAACAGATTAATGTAATGACCCATTTGTATTTATTTCAGGAATGCAGGATTGTTGGTTCTATATTACAAAAGCTATACTAGACCGTCCCCCCATAACAAAAATAATAAAAATCAGTAGATACAGAAAATTTTCTTGACTAAATATAATCCTTTATATTTAAAAATCTTAATTATTCACATTCATTCAGAAACATATGTACTGACTGTTCATTAATATGGTAAATAGTATCTGCCAAGAACTAAAAGTTAACATTAACTATAATAACAGGAATCACTAGAGGCTTTCCAGGCTTAAGGTGAGGGGCAAAGTAAGGATGTCTTTTAGAACAATTATTATTTGATATACTCCTAAAATTACTAGCTACAGCAATTAAGACAAGAAAAAGAAATTGAGGGAATAAGCATAGATAGTAGAGAAACAATACTTTTTGTAGACAATGTGGTTTACTTTAGGAATGTTAGAAATTCAAATGAAATTGAGAAGAACCAAATAATAAGTAAAAAGAAAGATAAAAAATTGACAAATTATCAGGTTTTTAGTGCATTATCAATAAAACCCAACAGAAGATATAGATAAGAAAAGAAAATCATTTCAAAATAACTACAGAATCTGTAAGCTATCTAGAAGTCCAGCTATCATAACACAGAAATTATATAAATACAACTATTCTGATTTACTAATTAGAGAAATATTCATTGTTCATGTTTTCACCATGCCAGTATAATGGCTACTGTGAGGTAGTATTGCATAGTGGATATAAAATCAGTCTCAAAGTCAAGAATGCCCGGATTCTAGTCCTGCCTGGAAAAATACCAGCTTTATGACCCTGGTCTAGTTTCGTCATCCAGGAATTCCCTATGCCAGTGAAAACACAGGTCTCACTGCTGTCATTTCTGTCCCTATTCCAGATATATAGAGAATTGATTAAAATATATTAAAATGAGCTATTCTCTATTCAGATGCATAAATCTAAGCTATCAAAAGTCATCTGAAAAAATACGGCAAAGCACTAATGATAGGAATCAAATTTAAAATCACTCAGATTGACAAAGATCAGGAAAATGACATGTTAGTGATACTATGGGAGGGACACACAACTAATTCTTCACTGGTGGGGATACGAGGGGTTCCAAGTAAGAGTCGCTAAACTGTCCATACCCTTTGGCCCTCTATACAACTAGTAGACCCAAGAGGTCAAAACAAAGAGAAAAAAAAAGACAAATGCACAGAAAATATATAGTAAGTAGTATTTTTTTGTTAGCTGAAAGGATTTGGAAAAAAGTAGGAGCCCATCAATTTGGGAGTTATTCAGCCATTTTTTAGTCATGTCTGACTCTTCATGACCCAATTTGGGGTTTTCTTGGCAAAGATACTGGAGTACTTTGCCATTTCCTTCTTCGGTTCATTTTATAATTGAGGAAACAGAGGCAAACAAGGCTAAGTGACTTGCCCAAAGTCACACAGCTAGTAAGTGTCTGATGTCAGATTTAAACTCAGGTCTTCCTGACTCCAGGCCTGACATTGTGCCACCCAGCTGCCCTTGAACTGAATTTTTTTGTTGTTATTGAAAGGATTTGGAAAAAAGTAGGAGCCCATCAATTTGGGAATATATAAACATGTTTTACATAGTATGGCACAGTAATATTTTAAGAAATAATAAAAGGTGGGGCAGCTAGGTGGCGCAGTGGATAGAGCACCAGCCCTGAAGTCAGGAGGACCTGAGTTCAAATACAGCCTCAGACCAAACACTTGACACTTACTAGCTGTGTGACCCTGGGCAAGTCACTTAACCCCAATTGTCTAAAAATAATAATAATAAAAGGGATATATTCGCAGAAACCTGGGAGAACTGGTATGAACTGATGCAGGACAGAGTTAGCAGAACCAGAAGAACATAATTTCTATAACTACAACATTATAAATGAAAACTTTGAAAGACTTCAACTCTGATCAATAATGACCAGTCATGACTCCAGAACACTGATAATGAATGATGCTTCCTTACATTTGCAAGAGAAGTGTTATACTAGAGGTACAGAATAAGATGGAAGGTTTACAAGCCTGAGCAAGGAAGTAACAAGGGGGAGGGAGTTTGCAGACTATCCATAATTTTTATAAATATTCAAAGTCACTAATAATAAAAATGCAAATTAAACAGTTCTCAAGGTTTCATTTCGCACCCATCAAATTGGCAAAGATGACTAAAGCTGAACATAGTCAATGCTGATGGGCTATGGAATATTAGATTTGCTCATTAGCAGATAATTAGTGGATTTGTGAATTCATTCAGTAAGTCTCTTGTATTTTTGACCCATCAGTCGATCTACTAGAGATATATATACCCCTAAAGAAGTCAAAAACAAAAAGCATGGTCTTATTTGTGCATCAAGAAATGCATTGCAGCACTTTCTCTGTTAGCAAAAAATTGGAAATAATATTGAGTGCACGTCAACTGAGAAATTGTTGGAAAAAAACTTAATGAATATGAAATTTAGTGTGAGACTTGGCAAATGTGGAATTTAGAGAAACGTGAGAGTGTTTGTATGAATTGTTCCAGACAAAGTAAGCAGAAGCAGGAGCACAATATACATGATGGCTGTGATAGTGTAAATTAAAATAACACAAAAAGGCAACTGAACTTGAAATAAGAATCCTAAGGTCAGATTCAGAATGTGGTTCGTCATTTACTACATTGGTTAGTTTTGCTTCCCTACTTTCCATTATTATGAGAAAAGTAACAATTTATAACGTAATAGACAAAGATAATGACAAGTTTTAAAAACAAATATTTTTAAAATGAAATGCCTGAAAAGGAGTCTGTAGGTCACAACAGGAAAAGTAAAAGATAACGCCAAAATTACAAACATGAGAGATTAGAGTCACCAATGAAGCTGACAAAAATATTGATGGTTTGCCAACAGTGTAATTTTCGTAGGGGGAGCCCAAGTTTGTGTTGCAAGACACAGAAGGAAAGCAAGTAAAAGAGATCAAGGTGAAAGGAAAATGTACTTACAACAAATTGGCATTCCAGACATATTGAAATAGGCTGGACCTAGATTAGTAAGGTTGATTAATAAGAGATGAAATCCTAGTAGGAGGTAGAAGGAGGAAGGGATTGGCACTTCATGCAGTAATTGAGGATTACAGGTTATTATTTAAATTGTATGAAGACAGAATTAGTAGAATATAGAATCCTGCGGTTTCAATATTGTTATGATGGTTACATCCCTAGGCTAGATTTTCAAAGATGAATGGAAGTGGTGTTGCCATTCTGTTGGAATCCCAAATTCTCTTTTACAAACTACATCACTCTTGTGTACAGATCTGTGGCCATAAAGTGTTCTTCCTGACCCTGTTTCCATATTCATCTGTTATTCATCATATAGTGTTATTCATCATTATTTAGAGTCTACTTCATAGTGCCGGGTTTTAAAGTTTTGTCTAAGTATTTTTCTTATTTCTTTCATTATCCATTAAGCCTTCTTAATCCTTTTAGCGTGATTCTAGTCAAATGCCACATTCTTTTATGCTGTTTTATGTTTATGCATGTTTTTATGCTGTTTTTAATCCCTACATGGGAACCCCTCGTTAATCTTAAAATCATGGCTGCAAACATCCATTTAAAACTATGCCATCAACAAAGTGAACTGTTCAGTTTTCTTTTTTTGTTTGTTTCTTTGATCAGTGTCTTCTGCTTCTATGTATGTAATGACTGAATTTTTAAAGCATTTCAGTAGACTTTCTAATAGTAAATACCTAGCATTTATATTACTACTTCAAGGTTTGCAAAGCACTTTATATGCCGTTTCATTTGATCCTCACAACAGTCCTGAGGGTAGGTACCATTATGATCCCCAATTTACAAATGAGGTAACAGGCAGAGAGTAGTTAAGTGAGTAACCGAGGGTCATACAGCCGGTATCTGAGACAGGAATTTAACTTAGGTTTTTTTGACTCCAATTGTAGTACCTGCTATGCCACCTACCTGCCTTCTTGTCATATCCCTGTATTATGCTTCAAGAGCATGTATGCCACTTGCCATGTGGCCATATCTCCATATTGATGCCTCTGGAGGCCTCCAACAGATTTTTCCCTTCTTCCTTAGTGCCATTTCTAAGATGTTTACTTTGTCATCTCCATATTTCTAATACATAGATTTATACATATGGAAAATATTCAAATGGCATGTATCTATTTGTAAATAAAATAGAACATGCAAAGTAATTGAGCAGAAATTTTGTTCCCATTAGACATTTGTTAGGCCTGTTCTAAGAAAGCCCTCTCAGCTCTGGACTAGTATTGCTAATTGCTTATAGATTGCAAAATCAGAAAGGTATTGATCAAGTCTTTGCTTGTATGGTAGTATTAATTAATAAAAATTAAGGAAACAAAAGGTAAATTCAGTAATGATCAGTATGTTAAAATTCCAGAATTTCTTTTTTTTTGTTTGTTTTTGTTCTCCCACGCAACAATTCTATTTGATAAGATATTTCACCTTAATATATTTTTCTCCGCTTCTTCTTCCCAGAACCACAGAAAAAGAAGGTTCTTGGTCACCTCCCCCTGTGGAAATCAAGCTGATTTCTCCCTTGGCAACCCCAGTTGATGCACCCAAGAGCAAACCAAGAAGGACTACAGAAACAACAGAAAAAACTCTTGGAAGAAGCAAAAGGAAACTGTCTTCCTTTCCAAAGCAAGTTTTACGCAGGAAGATGCTATAATTTTTTTTTCAAGTTTTTAATGTACACCCCACCCCAGTTTGTAAAGTCATCAGAATTGTGTGGATTATTAAAAATCATCTAATTTGGAAAAGAATAATTTATATAAATTATTGTAAATTTTCATAAATAAATGGTCTTCAATAAGTAAAGTAACTCCATATGGAGTGTGATTCCTTCAGTCACATACAGTTTTTTCTATTTTATATTAAGACTTCATACATTTATATAATATGTAAATACAGCTTATTATTGGAATGTTAAATAAACTGTATACTTAACAATATGTTGTCACATTTTTGAGAGAAGTTGAATGTGTGTTACTGGTATAATTTTGTAGATATAATACTTGCTCTTTTTTTTTTACAACTCATTAATTTGTGAATATAAATTTCTTTTAAATGAGTATGATTGAACTATTGGTTTAGTTTAGGGCAGTTGATCCTCTCAATAAGGATGAGACTGAGAAGCTATTGCATTAAGCAGTTATAAGGTCATTAGTAAATTATTTATACCTTTTGATTTTGAGGTATGAACAGTATTGAAGGAGTGCCTTTTATTATTTAACATACTCAAATCCCCAAGTAATACAGTAGTTATCATATGCAGTGGCATATCTAGTTTAATATACTTAGACTTTGTGTTTTCAAATGATTAAATCATTCCGGGCCTGGTTATCCTTATTGAACTGGCTAGTTCATTGATCACTAGCATTTCCACAAGAACACATGGGAAAGGGTAGGGGAGGAGGTTTGAAATAATTTTCCCCAACTTTACAATTACAATTCATTAAACAGTGTACTTTATGCCTAGCATTGTGCTAAATATTTTGAGAAATGCAAATATTTGTTTCACTGCCCTTGTACTCAGGGAGCTTATATCATCTATATTGTTGCAGAGCTGCAGAGACATAGTATTTTTAGCCCTTTGTTCAGGAGCAGTAGAATAGTGCTGATGGACACAGTAGAAGAGGCTAGAAAATGTTAACTCAGTTCACTGAGAGAGTACAGGTAATGAAGTACTTAAAAAAAAAAAACCTTTTGTCTCTGGAATGTATCTGAGCAAAGTTTAATTGGTGGTGACCCAGAATTCATGAATAAACTAGAGTTATAGAAGATTGCCTATAAATAATTTATAACCCATAATTGATAGTTTATAATGACTCCATTAAAAATTAATCATTTAGAAAGTTGGCAGACAACTCAGTACCAGGTTGGCTCATTGTAAGTTAGGAGCGTTTTTCTTAATTGTGTCTTTCTCCCAAATACCATAAAAAGATAATTGAAATGGCAAGCATGGACAGCGTAAAAGTTGCAGTTCGAGTTCGGCCTTTCAATCAGGTGAGTACTTTGTGCCCATCAAAAATTCCACGCTGATTTTGACTTAATGGTAGCAGGAATCAACTTCAACTTTAAGCAGTTTTTTTGGATGGCTTAGACTTGTTTATACACATTATCTGAGTAACTTCTTCCAGAAGCATTCATTTAGCCTTAATGTCAAGTAAAACTTGCTAACAATTAGAATTGTTGAAAAATAAGTTGGGCTACTTACAGGAAGGTGGATTCCTTAAACTTGGAGGTCTTCAGGAAGAGGCTGAGTGACCATTTATCAGGAATCATGATGGGGATTTATTTTCTGGTATGAGTTAAACCAGATGACCATTGAGGTCCCTTTTACCGTTCCAGTTTTGTGATTCTGTAATTTATTTAAACACAAGTATATTCATTAGAAAAAGTAACACAGTAGAAAGTAATCTAATGTCAGTCTGTTGACTGACTGATAGAAGAAATATTTCAAGACACTCTTTCCCATATGTTAAAGTGGGATTTCTAAAACAAAATTGTGGAGTGAAAATTTTTGTTTCCATGGCTTTTTTTTTAGGCCAGAAGTGGATCATGCATGATCAAATTAACCAACTTTATGCTCTTAATAAATCATAAAAACTTGACATGCCTTGCAAAAAATTTTAAAAGACTGTCCTTAGAAAATGTTGATTTGATTTGAGAGTTTGCAACATTTCCAACTTGGGGCTAGAATACTTATTTGAGTAAAATATATTAGTAAGTACTTTGAAAGTAAAAGTTGTTAAACCTTTTTTCATAAAGCTACATTTTGTTTTACTGGTTTCTCAGTAATTATATGATACCTTGTCACTTTGACATACTATTGTAAAGAACTTTTGAACTGATTATGAGGAGAAAGGATATCATTTTTTGGAGTTAAGAATGGTCATTATAATTTCACATTCAATTTGTTATTTTTACATTGTTGCAGTCATTTCTGGCATGTGTGCATGCATTTGAATTGTGCTTCCCTCTCTCCCCTTTTGTCATAAGAGAGCCCCTCTGAGATGTGGAAAAGTATGTATTGGGAAATGTAACAACATTTTAAGAAAAAAATCTAGGAAGAGGTTAACCCTGAAGAGGTCAAACAGCTGAACCATAGATTTTAAAGAGCTAAACCAAGAAATTACCTAGTTAAATTCCTCTGTGACTCATTTTGCGTAACTATTAAATGCACTGGACTTTGAATCTGGGAGATGTGCGCTTGGAACCTCCCTCAAGCAGTTAATGTCTGTGTGACTTTGATTAAGGTCCTTGGTCTATCAGCCTCTTGGGGATGATAGCCCATTGCATTGGGTTGTTATGAAAATCAAATGTTAAGATGGTAATAATTCATAATTATGTAACACCAAAATCTGCAAAGCACCTCACATTTATCTTATTTGATCCTCAGGACAACCCTGTGGACCAAGTGCTAATGTGCATATTTTGTGGGAAAAGGAAACTGAGGCACAGAGACATTGGGTGACCTGCACAAGGTCAGAAGGGTGTTTGGGGCAGAATTCAAACCTAGATTGATCTTCCTTTACTCCCAAATTCAGTAAACTGTCCACTATACCTGCTGCATTATGTAAAGTGCTTTGGAAACCTCTTTTTATCTGTTTGAATTAGTGACATCATCTTTGCAGGTAGGTCTGGGTGAGGAACTTTCCTCTACCAGTTCATTTTCACAGCTTATATAGAGTTGCCTACAGCATTGAGAGGCTATGATTTGTCAAGGATCACACAGCCAGTATGTATCAGAGACAAGATTGAAACTTGTTTGTCTTCACAGAGGCCAGCTCTATATCATTCTACCTCCTTTACAAACCTTAAAATGCTAATTTTGATCAGCATTGATTATTAATCAGTAAACATTTATTAAGTACCTACTATGTTCTAGGCACTGTTAAGCACTGAGGATACAAAAAGAAGCAAAAGATAGTCCCTGCCTTAAATGATTGTTATTTTAAGAATCTGGCTAAGTACAGTATCAAATCACAGGCTGATGATTATCAGCTTTGCTTTTGCTAATTGAAGAGTCATTCAGCCCCTCCACACTCAAAAAAGTGGCACTGAAAAGCTCTTGTAATTGAAGGTAATCTTGCATTGTAATAAATCTTAGGTAAATGGAGTGGATGGTCAAGCAACAAATGTTAAGACATTTAGTGTTCTACCTCAATGGCTTCTCCCTCCCCCTTTCTTTTTTGATAGGTACAAGAAGGAAGTTGATTAGGAGAAAGGTTGATTGAAGTTATATTGGTTAAGCAGTCAAACTGCACAAGCTTTTGCCCTGCTATGTACAGTCTTATTCCTTTGTACATATTGATTCTCTTAATATTCTATTTAAGAGGAAGAAGTCTGGGAACTAGTGTCATGGGCCTGAGAATGAGACGAGGTGAAAGCTCATCAATTAGAGCCCAAGGACAGGGGTGGGCCCTTCATTTTCATACAGAGAAGAAAGCTCTAAGGTGGCAAGACATTGATGACCAGAAAAGTGGTGGGCTTAAAACTGAACAAGACAAGGTAAAAGCTAAAAGCTCACCAGTCAGAGCCCAGTGGGATCTGACTTACTATGTCAGATAAGAATAGCTGCCATTCTTAACAAAGGAATATTATGTTTTAAAAAATGGTGGTTAAAACTGATTAAGAGAATTATAGATAAAGGAATAGACTGTGGTAAAGACTGATAAACTTGCGTAGTTTGCCCTACCAATATAATTTCAATCCATCCAGCTCCTAAACATCTTCCTTCTTGTGCCTATCAAAAAATATTTAGAGGGGCAGCTAGGTGATGCAGTGGATAGAGTACTGGCCCTGAAGTTAGGAGGACCCGAGTTCAAATTCAGCCTCAGACACATAACACTAGCTGTGTGACCTTTCGCAAGTCACTTAACCCCATTGCCTAACCAAAAAGAAAGAGAAGGAGGAAGTGGGAGAAGGCATTGAGTCAATGTGAGGAAGTCACAATCTCTCTGAAGTTCAGTTTCCTCATCTGTAAGATGGGGGCACAATTTTGTACATATATAAATAATCTATGCAGTGTTAAAGCACTATATAACTTGGCAATTAATGTTTATGTTTGACCCTCTTACACTATTTAACATTTTCAACAAATGTCTTATTTATAGTTGCACCACCCAGAATGTGACAGATCTGAGAAGCTACACAGGCATAGTTAGTATTTAGATGGGAGACCTCTTGTGGATACAGGGTGTTAATAGACTTCGGGGGGACCTTATAACTGTCTAATGTTGTTTTGTGGAAGAGGAATGATACTCGTCCTCTCTAACCTCAAAGGGAAAAACTAAAATTGATGGGAAGTTGCAGAGAGGCAAATTTAAGCTTGGGATCAGGAAAGACGTCTTAAAGGCATTCAGAAATAAAACAGACTGCCTCAAGAGGTAGTGGAAAGCTCTTAGGAGACTTATGCTAAAACTGAATGGCCACTTGTGACAGGTTATAGTGGGGATTCCTTTGGGGTACGGGAATGGAAAGAATGGTGTCCTTCCCACTCTAAATTTTATGATTTTTTTTCCTTGAGTAAAGGCATAGAAAGCATGCTTATCAAGATCGCAGATTACAGAAAGTTAACTGGAATAGCTAATGCATTGGATGACGGAGCCGTGGTCCAAAAAGATCTTGACACAGGGCAGGCATAAAATGTAATAGAGACAAGAGGGTGTCTGTGCATGATTAGATTACTGTTTTTCTGAAAATGATCTGGTGGTGTTAGTGAACTGAAAGTTCAACGCATCAATAATTTGATATCGCAGTCAACAAACCTAATGTGATCTTGATCTGATAGACATGGGCTACAAGTATAGAAAATTGATAATCCTATACTCTCCTTTGGTCAGACCACAATTGGAATATATTCATTTCTGGATACAACATTAAGGAAGGACTTTGGTAAACAAGTATTCAGAGAAGAACAACTAGGATGAAGTCTGAGATTATACTA